GGGAGGGTGGGAGGGAGGAAGACGCAAGAGGGAGGAGATATGGGAACATATGTATATGTATAACTGATTCACTTTGTTATAAAGCAGAAACTAACACACCATTGTAAAGCAATTATACTCCAATAAAGATATAAAAACAAAAACAAAAACAAAACTATAAAGCAATAAAAAATATTGTGCATTCTGATAAATCACGGTTCTATTGGAATTAACTGAAAAAGTAGTTAGGAACTTGACATCTAAAAGACACATGTAAAAGTAATTAGGAATTTATACTAAAAATATATATATAGTATTAATATTATAAAATATTAAATTCAGAATTTAGTAGCTGCTTGTGGATTCTAATTATATCAAAACATTTGTTGCCTGGAATCCTTTCCTCAGGAAATAAATCATTGTAGAGCACAGAACTTTTTAAAATACCTGAAGGATTGCAGTCTACAGTGCTTTTTGTATTTGGTCTACTTTAATTTAAACATTTTTTTTAAATTAATTAATTTATTTTTGGCTGCATTGGGTCTTTGTTGCTGCGCACAGGTTTTCTCTAGTCGCTGCGAGCGGGGGCTATTCCTCGTTGTGGTGTGCGGGCTTCTCATTGTGGTGGCTTCTCTTGTTGCAGAGCACGGGCTCTAGGCACGTGGGCTCTAGAGCGCAGGCTCAGCAGTTGTGGCACATGGGCCTAGGTGCTCCGTGGCATGTGGGATCTTCCCAGACCAGGGCTCGAACCCGTGTCCCCCGCATCGGCAGGCGGATTCTTAACCACTGCACCACCAGGGAAGCCCTTTAATTAAAAAAAATTATTTTTGGTCTTTCCCTTTGTGTTCACCATGTGTTTAGTGTTCCTGACCTCTGTTCTGTTTTTTTGCTGCTAATGTGCTGTGAGTTTGGAATCTAGATAATCGAGTTTAGTGAGAGGCAGTAGGATAGAGTTGGACATTGGGAATCAGGAATATTTTTGCTGAATTTTAAGAATTAAGAATCATGTGGACATACAGGTATAGGAGGAACAAGTCATCTTCAAGGTACAAAAGATCAGACTAGTCTTAGAAACTTTGCCAAGGTGATACTTAATGAACAAGAAGGGTGTGGAATAGTATTTTCAGATTTCTGAAGAAAGGAACATATGTTGCAGGCATTTTATAACCATTCAGATTGTTCTTCAAGTATAAGGCAAGAGCCAGCCTAACCCAGAAGTACCAGAGAAATAACAGTACTGATGACACTATTTTAAAATAACTAAACAAAAATAACTTACATGAGAACAAAGTTCAGGCAACCAAGAGATGAATCAAAATAAAACCTCAAGAATGGAGAAGCCAAAGAAAAATGGTGTGCATTGACTCCATTTAAGTAGAATTCTAACACTAGCAACTGTGGGAATTATAGTGCCAGACCAGAATACAAATGTTATAAACCTTTTAAAATCTTTGTCAAACATTAAAAATTTTCTTTCTGATGAATATAAATGTACAGAGAAATTTTTTAAATAGCTGAAACTATTATTTAGTATACCATAATTCAAAATATTAGAGACTTTGAAATTTAAAATGTTATTTCTTTGCAAAAACTTCACTAAGTTAGAACAGCGCTTGCCTTGCTTGCCTTCTTCTCATTGTATAACTCAAGATATGGACCATACATCTCTGCTATACCTTGTATAGAAGATATAAAAATTTCAATATTTGGATCAGCTTCAAAAATTTTATCCTTTGCCCTCTGTGTCATGAAATATCTCTGGGAATTCCTTTAATGGGGAGTTCTCTGCAGGCAATATTTCCTCTGCAATGTCTTTATCCTTTTATGTCACAACCAGTTTTTTCATCTACTTGGATAATTTGACCTTCACTAAATTCCTCTGGCTGCATATCTAGATACTGTTTGAGTGGCAGCAGTATCAGCATTCCATGGCCAGCTGTTTCTTCTATAACCCCTTTTATGTTCAATTTGAATTTCACTTACAGTGTTATCACTTTTCATTTCTTTGTGAACTTTCATCCTCATTGGTTAATTTCCTCTTTTGATTATTTATTTTTATAAATTGTCAAACTGTCATGTAGGATTATCACTAGGTGACAAGGAGGCACATAACTTCATGCTTGCTGTCTGTCTGTGAACTAAACAATAGATACACAGTGATCAGTCGCTAATTCCACTTTGAAAGGAGTTGTGTGATTGATCACTGATTATTTACATAGTGATCTGTGGATTGAAGAACAAGCATCAGAGTTTGCATTCTGTGCAATTACTTAATAATACAGTGGTACCTGAGATTTGAACTATGTTGTTGAGAGTTTATTTAAGTAAATTGTGGATCTCAATTTGTAAGTGTATAGTGAAAACATGCAAAGTGAAAACTGCCTATAATAATATAATTGATAAAAATCCTGAGTTGAATTGGGGAAAGGTATGAGTATATTAATCCTATTATTCTTGTCAAGTAGTCAATAAATACTGTCTAAAGTTGAAATATGTAAATACAGTGATTCTAGCTTCTAAATGTTTCTCATAGTCACATTTTATTAATTTTAGAAGAATCTTTTAGGGACACTCCCCTGTTGAAGAAAATACAAACTTCAGCAGGTTTTTCTTATTTCCCTCCTTTTCTGTTAAGACCCTCAACCAGTAGGTGGAGATATTCTAGTCCAGTTTCATTGAAGCAACTACCCAACTTAAAGAACCTACTTCACTGGCTTATGGCCGTGCATGCAGGGCCAACAGCATCAAATCTCATACCCTTTGGGCATTAACATATTTCCCACTAAGGCCTGTCTTTTTATTCCTAATGCCCATGTTGTGGTCAGTGCAGCTTCACCTTCTACACTCAGCTATTCAGTTTTAGTACTTGAACATTTAAAAATAATTTTAAAAATAATTTTAAAAATTTATACAACATTTCACTGTGTTTGTAGTAGACAGGAGGGAGGATTTTTGCATGTGCTTCATTATCACCTAGACTAGAAATACTCTGTCATGATCATTCATTTAAAAAAGTCTATGCAATAGTATGCCAGCCTATAAAGTGCCTATTAGTTGAATCGCTCGGTTGTACACCTGAAACTGACATAATTTTGTACATCAACCTATTTCAATAAAAAAGCACCTATTAAAAAATATTAAGAAATATGTGAGACCTATACGAGGAAACTGAATTCATAAAAGAAGATCTGAATTAATACATTGATGTAGTATTCGTAGATTGGAAGATTTAATTGGTAAAGATATCAATTCTCCCCAATTTAGGCTCTTCCAATTAAACTCTCAATGGAATTTTAAGGAAATTTTAAAGTTATCCAGAAGAGTAAACTTGAAAAAGTCATTAAGAAAATTTAGAAGAAAATAATTGAGGGGAGTGAACTGCTTAACCAAGTAGCAAGGCATGTTGCAAAGATAGAATGATTAAGATAATGGTTTTGAAGCAGGAAGTAGGTTTGTGGAACAAAGTAGAGGCTACAGAACTGTATGTTTGTGTAGACACTTTTGAACTAATAAGCTGTATTTCAAGCAATTAGGGAAAGGATGAATATTTTAAAAGGTGGTATATAAGAAATTGGCTCTTCGGGGGAACAAATACAGTTACATCCCTATTTCACATCATAAACAAAATTAGATTCCAGGTGGAGTAAATATCTAGATATAAAAAAATAAAATTATAAGAGTACTGTTTTCAGAGACTCAAGATAGCCTTCTTAACCATACCTGAAATTTAGAAACTATGAAGAAATAGACTAATAGATGTAACTACATATATAAAGCTTAAAGTACAAAGTACCATAAACAAAGTTAAAAGCCAAATGAAAGACAGGAGAAAAATGTTTACTGTGTATAACAGTGTACAAGGAGTCTCTTGGCTAATAAGACAACCAATAGAAAATGAACAAAGGGTATAAACAGACATTTCAAAAAAAAGAAGTAGCAATGGCTAATACAAAAAGATATTTATCCTCATTAATAATGAAACTTGAGATAGCATTTTTTATCCACGCTATTGGCAAAATGTAAACTACTGATCATCTTCTATGTTAGAGTATTGTAGGAGTGTAAATCGGTGTCTTCAGTTTGATAGTAGCTGTCAAAAATTAAATATCCATACCTTTGACCCATTGGGTCTGACTTTAGGGATTTAATCCATAGAAATACAAGCATATGTACAAAAGACATGGGCATATAGCTGTTTATTGAAGCATTTTTTATACAGTGAAAAATTGAGTTCAACCTGCATGTTCATCAATAGAGGAATAAATAAATAAATTTTAGCATATTCATTCTTTGGAATAGAATATGAGGAGCAAGTACTATGAAGTAAGTGTATAGGCTCTGGAGTCAGGTTGCCAGGTTCGAATTCTGGATCCATCATTTACTAGTTGCATAACATAGGCTTACTTAACTTTTCTGGGCCTCAGTTTTCTCATCTATAAAATGGAAATAGTTGAATCTGTTTCAGAGGGTTGTGTGATAAATATATAGAACAGTGCTTAGAACATAAGTACTCAATAATGCTAACTAATATTAAATTATCACTTTGCAGTTATTAAAAAGAATAAAATACATCTGTAAAATTCCAGCATGGAAAACCCCATAGTGATTTAAGTAAACAAATTTTAGGACAGTGTATGCATATGGCATGAGTACCTATTTGTAAATGAAATTTTTAAATGATATATGTGCATGTATTTCAGTGTGTGTGGATAAATCTGGAAGGATAAATGCCAGTTGTAACAGTAATTGTCTCTGGGGAGTGAGATTGGGTCGAGGGGAAACGGATTGTCAGATTTTCAAAGAAATATTTTCCTGTATTTTTTTCCAAGCATGTATTATATTTATAGCTAAAAAGTTTTTTTTTTTCTTTTAAGGTTCCATACACTGTAAGGATAGTAGAATTTTTGATTAACTTTTATTTTACTTAAAAAAAAAAAAAAAACCTGTGAAAAGTTGTGTTCTCTAAATGATGGGTGCTTTCTCTTGTTTTCCTTAGTGACTCACTGAGATTTTCCTTGCAGGAACATGCGTACCCAGCTGATGAACTCATGCCTTTGACCTGCAGAGGTCGAGTTAGAGGCCAAGAGCCAAGTCGGGGTGATGTTGATGATGCCTTGGGAAAGTGAGTATTAACAAAGGGGATGGCATGGCATCTCAGAGTTCCCAAGTCTTAAGACATCTCTGAGGCAGTGTACAGTTGTATATCTGGGGATTGGTTAAATTTCAAAGACTGCTTTAAGTATTACATTAAGTTCCTTTATTCCTTTCTGTTATCTTTTGTAAAATATTAGTCAGTTTACCTCTTAGATCAGTGAAAAGTTGAGTAGTTGTTAAGATGGATGTAACTTTTAGAATGTATATAAAGTCATTGATGTGTTATAAGATGTTGATGCTTTAGTATTTTTATTTGCTTTTAAAAGAGCTAATGAATATTTCTGTTCATTTTGAAAGATATGTAGTTATGCTGAACATAAATGTGATGTTAAGGCTTTTCAGGTTCTTTCACTGTTTCACAAGTTACACGGTACTGTAGATGCATGGAAGTACTAGTTAATGGAAGCTTCCAGTCAGTAGGATGTAGATACATCTACTTATACATTCATGGATAAGATATTCAGAATTCTAATGGTGTGTATCTTACTATATTTGTTTCTTAGATTTTCCCTGACACTGATTGATTCTTTGGACACTCTTGTGGTAGGTTTGATTCTTCTTGAATTATTTTATATATTTCTTAATATCTGCACTCAGGTATTACGAATATAATCGTTACACAGTAAGTCTGAAATAGAAGCCTTCAGAATTTAAGATGATTTGATCTTTGCTTCTAAATAAATCTTTCACACTCCTGAATTGATAATGTCATGTGAATGTCAAGGGAAATTATGTAGAATCATGGAGACACTCAAATAATTTATAGGTATGTCAGCTTATGTGATGGCCCCTTAATCAGGAAAGTTGTTTCCCTTTGGACAAGGAGGTTGATGATATTGGAAGAAAGTAATTCTAGAAAATGCCCTTGATATTCTTGTTCCAGAAAGACATGCCACAATCATACTAAAATTGTTAAATTAGAATTTTTATGTATTATGTTCATTAAAAATTAAATTTTTTCTCAGAAGTGATTTTTAGTACCAAGTGATCACTACTTGGCACTTCTTTTAAACCTCATGGGATACAAAATCATTTAAATTAATTCTAGTTGGGGACAGTTCATGATGGCAGAGGGGAATGATTGAGTTCCAGATGTCATGATTTCTAAAGGTAGTAAGTATCTTTCTCATTCTTTACTCTCAGATCATTTATGGTATAAAAATTAGGCTTGTTTCAGGATTTTCCTTAAGGCATAGTTCTCAACTTTGAGTTAATGTCTGAAGTATTGATTAATATTTTTTTAAAAAGACAAAAAACATTTGTGGTGGCAGAAATTTTTCAGAACTTGGCTTTTCTTCCCAGTATTGATTCTACATTCTTCTTTCACTGGGTGATTCTTTTTTCTTTTTCTTTTTTTTTAACCAGAGACTGTCAACTATATCAGCACCTTGGGAATATTACCTGTGAAGTTTTAAAAAATATACTTCTCTCCCAAGTTATTCTGATGTAATTTTCCTGGAGTAGGACTGAGCATTATTATTTATTCCTCTAAAGTTTCTTCTTTATAAAACTCAGCCATGGTTGAGAAGACCTTTTTTGTTGAGAAGACCATGGTTGTTTAGACCTTTATAGCTGTATCAGGGTTTTGAAAGTTGTGACTTCATTTTTCAGAGATTAAAGGAATGTGTGAACCATGTTATAATGACTATGAGAATGAGAGAGATTATTGTGTACCTTGTTTTTGGTTTAGTGGTCCTTATTTTTGGTATAGTGTTCTGCTGTAATAGAAGAGAAAAAGATAAACAAGTGTCCCAGGAGGCACAAATTACCACCCTGGGAGAAACTGGTGTTATTTATTTATAAGTATAGCTGGATGATGCACATCAGATTGATCTTGATATGGTAGGGTGAGTGAGGAGCAGTAGCTGTGTATTAGGAAAGATCATAGGTGGACTTAAGTTTGTTTCTCAATCTGTCATCTTGGCTTTATCCTTATATACAGTAGGTTCTCTGTAAGCTCTTATTGATTTTTATGATCATGGACCTCAGATATTCTCTGTGTTTTTAAAATTTTTATCAGAAATGAAGGAGAAAATGTGGTTCTAGGCTGCCTAACTTTCCTATATTTAGAAACCTGTTGGTCTCTAATTGAGCAGCCATTATTATAAAGGTTCTATTCTGCTTTGAAGTTATACCACTTTGACATTGGTTCTCAGAATATGATTCCAGCACCACCAGCATCAGCATCACTTGGCAGCTAGTTAGAAATGCAAATTGTAGGGCCCCATCCCAGACATTATTGAATCAGAAAGTTTGGGAGTAAGGCCCAGCAGTCTGGTTTTTTAACAAGCTTCCAGATGATTCTAATGTATGCTAAACTTTGAGAACCACTGTGTAATAATGCAGTGGTTTTCAAACTTCAGTGTACTACAAGTCATCTGGGGATCTTGCTAAAATAGATTGTGATCCAGTAGACTGAAGATGGGGCCCAAGGTCATGTGTTTCTAGTAAGTTGCCACTTGGTGGTGCTGTTGCTGCTGGTCCGTGGACCACACTTTCAGTAATGTTTGGTGTAACTTGAGTTCTAACTCCTCGTAGCCGGGAGTACCAAGAAGTGATCACCTAATATTGATATGTGACCTTGGCCAAATTATTTACCTTCTCTGGGCCCCTGTTTTCACTTCAGAAGGACCTAGATTAGATATCTAAGATATCTATCAATAGATATCTGTTTAAACAGAAGAATTAGAAGAAATTAAAGTAGTTTGGAAGTTTTTTCCTACGTTTAGAAGGAAAGTTATCTTGCACATTTTATCAATACAACTATTAATATTTCTAATTTGTGATTTTTTTTTTTTAGATGTTGGGGGTAGGGGGTTATTAATTTATTTTTGCTGTGTTGGATCTTCGTTTCTGTGCAAGGGCTTTCTCTAGTTGTGGCAAGTGGGGGCCACTCTTCATCGTGGTGCGCGGGCCTCTCACTATTGCGGCCTCTCTTGTTGCGGAGCACAGTCTCCAGACGCGCAGGCTCAGTAGTTGTGGCTCACGGGCCTAGTTGCTCCGCGACATGTGGGATCCTCCCAGGCCAGGGCTCGAACCCGTGTCCCCTGCATTAGCAGGCAGATTCTCAACCACTGCGCCACCAGAGAAGCCCCTGTGATCATTTTTTGATTTGTGGTTTGTTTATTTGAAAATCTTAGAGGACATAACACTTGGGACAGGATGCAACCTTATTGTTTTTATTTTGGTCATACCATAATATGTTAAGTAGAACTTCTATTGTCATAGTTTGATCTTTCAATTTAAACTCTTGTTCATAATTCTAGCCATCTAGTTTCTATTGATTGTAATGAAGTCAAGCACTAAAACTTTAAATTTACCACTAAATTCAACATTGCCATGAAATCTACAGAAAGAAAGATATTGAACAAATTAAAGATAATGGGGGAAAGGAAGAGACCTGAATTTGTTCTTTGTTATCAGCTAGGTGCTTAAGAAACTCATCAACTAATGGAGCTGTTAGAATGAATTTTTAGCTAATTATGGACAAAGAACTCTCTTTCCATTTTTATTCTCCTTTGAAACAAATAGCATTGGTACTATTCTTGGGAACAATTCTCGGGAGATAGACTTTGGAAGAATAAAATGAACAAAATGATATTAAGAAGGGGTGTGTGTGTCAGGAGTGAGTAGAACAGTTGTGTTTCCTTCTAGAAGTGATAGAGGGCTGTGCGCATCTGCATTTGTGGCTGCAGAATTTACACGGACTTTGAGATTAAGAAGGGAAAGCACTCAATTTACAATCAGGTTTTGTATTATATTTTACTCAAGGCTTACCCGAAATTTTACTTGAATTTTAGTCAGACACTCTTATGGAATGTTTTATACCTAAATTAGAATTTTTAGTGAAGTATCAAATCAAGTGAGAAAGCACTATAAAATATTATCAAACAAAAAGATTAAACAGTCAAGTAAATGGAAACCACTTTTAATGGACCTGGGAGCTAAGTAACATCCTCTTGTGCAGCCTTAATTTAGACTGAAAAATTAAAGCAAACTGTGTAATGACAGTGACCACCCCCCCTTCATGGAGCTCATTGCAAGCATCCACAGAGTTCTTAACTTAGGATTGTAGACCCTCATGGTAATAATGGTAATAATAATAACGATATCAAGCACTTAACTAAGTCAGGTGCTCTACTAAAAGTACTTTACATGCATTACCTCATTTAGGAAAACAAACCTATGAGAGTAGGTATTTCCTCTTTTTGTAGATGAAGGAACAGGCTCAGAGATAGAAGTAAGAACCACAGTTCAAATCAGGGCTTGGTCTTGACCCCAACATTGCACTGCCTCCTTAGTTAGGGGCTACGGCATCCATGGGGTAAAGATGGCAAGTGGTGTATGATTTAAGATCAGTTGAAGGATGTGCTTTCTTCTGAGACTAAGCAACTTTTTAAATGATGTTTGGTGAGTAGGGCAGTTTTTGTTTTGTTTTGTTTTGGCTTGGAAACCAAATCCCAGTAGAGCTCACCTCTTGTAGCTCTAAGTCATGGGTCATAAACACCAGCTAACAGTTCTGGATGATGATTGTTTTAAAGTCCTAGTGATATTTCAGTGTGTCTAAAAAAAGAAGTGTGTCTAAATAAAGATTCCTTGCAATATAAATAAGCATTTAATTTTTTTCAGTTTTAGATAGTATCACATTTTTATAATAGGTTTAAGGGAAAAGTTTTTTGTATGTGTTACTTTTTAGAGTCTTAAGGTATTAACTTGCTGTTAGCAGCTCATTTTGAGGGTATTTCTCTATGTCTTGGTCGAAAAGGACTTTGTTTTCAATAATTTTCTTCTCCTAGGTATTAAATAAAACTAAAGAATTTGAAGATGCGGTGAGAAAAGTTTTAAGAGATGTTAATTTAGATAATGATGTAGTTGTATCAGTCTTTGAAACAAACATCAGAGTTCTTGGGTAAGTATGTGAGACACTAAAGCTCTAATTTTAATAACAGAAAAGCCAAGGGTACACTCTTTATTTCTTGATGGTAATAAAGCAAGAAATTTCTTATGTTTAAAAGATAAAAGTTGGGGTATTATAAAGCACAGAGGCTGTGGGATGACCCTTGTATTATATGAGGCACAGAGAGCAACAGGCTTTGGGAATAGTTGTAGACTCAAATCAAAGGCAATCTTTGTTCGTTGTTAAAAAAGGACTGACTATAGGTCGAATATTTGAGTATTAGCTACATCGTAGGTTTTTCGCCAGATTATCTAGTTTACTAACCTTAACCTCTTCAAGCCAAATGAAACGGAATTTATAGGATTACCTTTGAACTAAACAGTTTGAAATATTCTTGGAACACAGGAATTACAGAATTTATTAATTCACGTTTCAACATGTAGTTTTATATTTAATGGTTACTTTTGTGTTATTGTAACTCATTTCCTTTTTCAGACAAAGTGAATCTATTCTTCAGTTAAATTTAAGAAATAGCTTTGTAGTTTTTCACAGAGTGTATTAGTCTATTACATTTAATACAGAGTGGGGAGTTGTTTTTTTTTTAATGTTATGCTAAGAGTCAGAGATTTCATGATGCTCTAACTAAATTAAATTTAAAATTTCTTAAAATCAAATCTGTTAAATTTGTTAAGATAAATGATTTCTAGGATGTTTTTTATTTTAAGAAAATTTAAGGTATTTAAGAATGCCAAACATTTTACAACAGATAAAACATCTGATTGTTTTTGTTTTGTTTTGTTTTTAATACTGGCTATGTAATATGGTTTGCCACAAAATGAGTAGCCAGAGTTAGGGAAAAAGTTAAGTTCTTCTGTGATCTTTCCTTATGTACTCTAAATTGTTGATAATAAAGATACCCGCATCTTTTTAGGTGATGATGTTTAAGTATGTGTACAATGTGGCTAATGTTTCACCTCTGTGATTTTAGGGGTCTTTTGGGTGGACACTCATTGGCCATCATGCTGAAAGAAAAAGGCGAGTACATGCAGTGGTACAATGATGAACTTCTCCAAATGGCAAAGCAGTTGGGTTACAAACTTTTACCAGCTTTCAATACTACCAGTGGCCTTCCTTATCCAAGAGTAAGTAATTCTGAAAAATATGGCAGTCTTTGTATACTTCTTCGCTATTATAAAAAAATCAATTTTTGTGATCCAGCCATTGTTCCTCACCTGCTTGAGGCTGGAAAAAAAATTTTTCAAGCTATATAAGAAATTTATATTGACATTTCAGTTAATTTGCATTTGAATGGTGTGAGAATTTAGATTAGTTAAAGCCTTTTATGTGTCATTGCATAACACAGTAGATTATGCTGCAGAAGGAAGAAGCAGATGCCAGACTGGAATTTGGGCAAAGAATTATTTGCGCAGAAGATACAGTGGAAGCAGTAAGAGTAGGTGTTAACTCTCCAGAGGAGAGGGTATAAAGCGAATATAGAACAGAGAGGAATGAGGAGGAAGGAGAGCAGTGAAAAGGAGATTGTTCGGAGACTGAGGAGGAGAACCACAGAGCAGTGTAAGGTATTATAAACTCCTAAAAAGACAGTTTCAAGAGGAGATACTCCAGCAAACATTAGGAGAATTAGGTGCAGACAGAGCCTTGAAGGATATAATGTGGCAGAATAAAGGGGGAAGAAGGATTCAAAGTAGGTGAAAGTATAGGACCATTCATTTTGAGATTTCCTCTGTGTTGGCAGTTAAAGGGAGTTGGCAGCAGAGTCAGTTGAGGGAGTTTTGTTGTTTTCTCCCCAAGAAAATTTTATATTTAAGGCAGAGGGAAAGAAGCCATTGAGATGGAAAGAACGCTCTCCTGATA